GAGTTACCGTGCTCGGCTGAAACATTTTTTATTATTTGTTATAAACTAAAATACTCTTTCTTAACAATAACCCAGTCCAAAAATCATGAAATTAGCATATGTAAGTTCATTCAGGACACATTCAGTCTTAAAATAAAAAGTTGACTGAGCCTAGTGGGTCATGCCTGTGATCCCAGCACTTTAGGAGGCCGAGGTAGTTGGAGATGAGTTTAAAGATGTTTCACCTTTAAACTATCCTACAAGTCCAGTGTTCAATTTATCGCATATTCAGTCAATTTTATTACTTTCTTTTAGCGCTATACTTTGATTCTCTTCTATTAATTCCTTTCTGTATTTGTTTATTGCACAAGATCAAATATTATATCAGAAGCTGAGGCTTTATGCAGCCTGTTCTCCCCAGTGGCCAGCTATAATGTGCTTTTTTAAATTTTATTTTAAAACATTGTATTTTAAACATTTGTGACTGTAACTCCTTCTTCTCTAACATTAAAAAAAGAAAAAGAAAAAGTAAAATATCTATTTTTCATGCAGGAGAAAATTCTCAAGAAAAACCTCCAGTTCAGCTTACACCTGCCTTGGTGAGATCGCCATCTTCCCGACGAAGTCTAAATGGAACAAAGCCTGTTCCTCCCATACCAAGGGGAATGAGCCTTTTGCCTGATAAAGCTGATTTAACCACAGTGGGACACAAAAAGAAAGAGCCTGATGATATTTGGAAGTGTGAAAAAGATAGTCTTCCAGTTGATCTTTCAGAATTAAATTTCAAGGATAAAGATTTGGATCAAGAAGAGGTTAGAACCAAATATTTTTAATGACTTAAAAATATTTGCAATTTTCTATGTTATAGTTGCTATTTAAGGAAAAATCAAGTTCTTTTTATCCTGTAATATCTTATTTCTAAAATATGTTATTTCTAAAAATATGTTCATTATAGAAAATGTGAAAAATACCATGAATTATTAGAAAGGGAATTTATCACGCCAGTTCCCACTACCCAGAATAATTTACTGTTAACTCAACTGTATTTTCTTCAAGTAGTTTTTCTATGCATACATTATTCCTTTCTAAATTGAAAGTATGAATAATAATATAGCAATACACTCATGCACTGACCCCTTCCAGTGAACAATTTGTCATATTTGTTTCCTTTATTAAGGAAATGAAACATAGCACAGTTCTCTCCCCAGTTCAACATCTCTTCCTTCTTCACCAGAAGCAATTACTATTATCATTTATTTATGTTTTATGTATTTTTGTACTTTTTATATTAATATTATTTTGTGTATTAATTTACTTATGGTGTATTTATACCATTGATTTTAGCTTATGATCAGTCTTTTGCAGTTGCAAACAGTGAACTGCAATGAACATATTTGAAACTGTCCTTTGTGCATATGTGCAAGCTTATCTTTATGAAATTGAGATCATATTGT